TAAAACATAATATATAAATAACACACACACACACACACACACACAAACAAGAGTATAAAAATACTTTTTTTCCATCTTATGGTTTTCAAATTTTGTATGCATAACCTTTAGAACCTCCTAAATTAATATCAGTTTTTTTTTAAGGCAAATGTTTATATTGTATTTTTCCCTTTCTCTACAATATTAGTATACACTAGCTATTACCATCAATTTATACTATAGACTTATATTATTGTATAGTACAATGAAATGTTTAAAATGAAGACACAGGAAACGTACATACCTTTAAATATTGTGTCAAATAATCTTAAAACATCTTTTGGTTATATTCTTAATTGCATGTCTTTACACCTACATAGGTAGTTTATTTTTAATGTTTTATTTTCCTTTCCTTTAGCATTATTCTTTATCACAACACACGTTAATGGGCATCCCCAGCCAATATTACGGTATTGTGAGCAGAGAAACTTTAACCATTGGTAAAAACTTGGTGGCACTTGCATATTATAAATCCTTTGTGAACCAAGGAGATGTGGAGTTACATAAAACAAAATTTATTAAATGTTTCAAATATGCATCTTAAAACATAAATAACATATAATTAAGTAAAAGACAAAACTAAAATCTAAATACAATTCAACTATCTATCTAACTAATGTATTTTTAGGTGAGAAACAATGCTAAAGTGCTAGCTAGGACAATGCTAAGAGCAGTTTACTCTATGGAATTCTTCACGACAATTTTAAGATAACAGATAAATGAACATAATGAAAAAAGTGCTCTTTTCATTGGTTTTAAACGTCTGGCTTAAATAGTATAATTGACTGAGAAATTGCAACTGTGTGTAGAAAGTGGGTGTAGCATCTTCTTTCTCCAAATGTGCCATAAGGAGCTTGAAAGAAGGATGTGTAAACAGTGCAATTAACCCAGTTTCTGTTTATACATATATGTAAAGTGTACATAAAAAAGTACTCAAGTTACAGTGATAAAAATTTAAGATTTTGTGAACTTGTGCATCAAGTGACAATAAAACCAAAGTTTAAGAATTTTTCTTTAAGGTTTATTTGGAAATAAAGGAATTAAAACTTATATAATATAAAACTTTCAACTATAATGTAAATCCTAATGCTAATTTCATTGGCATACACTGATCATAAGATCATTTAATTAAAGTTTGAATGTAACTAAGTAAAATCTTGTGACATGCTGAGAAAAAGGTGCACCATAAATACAGGAAAAATTTAGTAATGCTTAGTTATGAATGCTTGCAGATTCCTCCAAAGAATAAGATTTCAAGATTCTTTCAACATGCATGTCTTATAATTACCTTTCAGGCACATTATTAAGAGTAAGAAACACAAAACATTTTTTGGCACAATGAAAGGTAAAATATTCATTATTACTTACATTATTATTAGTTTCTGTAACACAGTTACCATTAGCAGGGCTAATATCTATAGTGATAGCTTAGAATATATTCAGCTACAAACTTAAGGATAGATTTTAATAGTTTGTAAAAATTTCTCACAACAATAAAAATGGAATGAAGGAAATTTAAAAATCAAATTTATCTCAATACATGAAGGACACAATAAGCAGTTAAAAACATTAAGTGAAAAGAATAAGTTACTTGTCCAGGTATAGGAGAAGAGGTTCCTGATACTCCAGTCTTCAGTTGAGTGAACGAAGAGTTCTTAGATGGCTGTAATGTATCTCGTGGCAATTCTTCTCCCACATTTCGAGCAGCCACCCCATTCTCAGGGTCCTCAGATATTCCCCTAATAAATAATTTAAAAATATCCAAAATAACTAAGGTTTTTTTATTTTTATGCTCTAGAGTACTTCAAAAGAAAAAAAGTTGAAATTTTAGCATAATTTTAAATCTTGTATTCAATTGAACATTTTGCAGAAAGCCAACCTGAATGTAAAGCGTTAGCAATTAAATTATATGTGGTATCTTAAAAACAATAAAGGAAACTTGTACACATAAAGCTGTAGATGAGTTACATACTACTAGAGAAAGTTAAAGTTAATTCTGTAAATAACAAAATTCTACTCACGACACACCTCCAATACAAGGCTTATTATTTATTATTATTATTAAACTACATGGTATCTAATTTTGGGCAAATAAAAGCCATTACTGTCTCTTACAATAGCAGAAAAATCATTTGGCAAAATCTTTTGTAACAATTTTTTTAAAAGTAATCTGGTCATTTCCTACTTCATGAAACATTAAAGTCAACCCAAGATGACCACATAATTGCCATTTTGTTTATTTATTGATCTTGTGAAAAACAAATAGGTTGATAATTGAATAAGGAAAATATGTTACTATCACTGATATTGGTAGTGTTTTTAATTTAACCCTTAGGATGTTATTATCAGATTTATCTGACTTAAGACTTATAGCTGTTGCAACAAGCAGATTTACCCAATGGAGTCACAAGACATTTCCTCAGTGTGCGACAATCAGGATACCCTCACATTCTTGAATTTCCTGCCTTAGTGTTGCATACACATTGTTAAGCAAAAGCTTCATTTATTAGTAAATAATTGACACTTTTCACAAACCCAGCCAAAATTTAATTATGCAGTCAAAGGGTTAAAACATATCATAATTGCAATTAGAAATAATTAAGTAGCCAGTTAGCCAATATATTTATGTACATTTTTTCAACAGGATACACTAAAATAATATATAATAAATAAGGATTTGAGTCATCAGAATATTTTCTTATTGCCTACTGTACTCATTAAACTAAGCAGATATAATTTGATGATGATTTGATTTAGTAAATATAATAAAAGAAAAACCTCATGTTTGCAACCAATGTAATTAAAAAGACTTATCAAATAAAAGCATTACAATTTTAAACACAAAGTCAAACATCGACAAACCTAAAATCATAGAACCCATCGTAACTCATCACACCCTCTAAACCAAGATATCCTTATTGAGTCATTAGGCAATTTCCACTCATGAGTATGTACCATATATACATTCCAGCATCACTACCTGATTATGACAAAACCCCATTTAACTGAACATGACACAAGGTTTTACAAAACTAGTTTTTGTTTATGTTATACCAATTAGTATAGCATAAAATCTTAGCTAATAATTAATATTTTGATAGTATACAAGTTCTCAGTTCTTAATTTTATAAGGCAATATTTAAAAAACCCTCAATGTCCGTAGTGTGACATTTTTAGTGCAGTAAGTTTATCTTCATGATTAAATTGATTATTAAAAATTGTTAACTTAAAAAGTAGGAATAGGGACTGTCGAAAATATATAGAAGATAGGTAGCTTAAAGTGAAATTGCAAAAAAAATGTAAACAAACAAGCTTAAGGTTTGAGACACAGTGATGACATTATTTCTTCAAGCTACAAATCCCTAAAAGCTGTAATATTCAGGATGGTCAAAATAAAAAGTTGTGGCTTAAGGAAATAATGTCAGCACTGTGACTTAAACTTTAAGCTTGTTTGTTTACTGTTTTGTGATTGTATTTTCACTTTAAGCTACCTGTCTTGTTTCTGTAATTTTTTGAAGGTCCCTGTTCCCCCTTTTTAAGTTTGTTACTTTACTTATATTTTTTATTTCCATCATGGATATAAATCTGTATAATAGTGGTACTTTCCTACTTGAAACAGTTTAGATTAACCCTGTCACCACGGGTATCCTTAACTGCACATAACAAGGTTTTAGTGTCTTACATTCAAAATTTTATACTTTTTTGTTTATGCTATACCAATTAGTATAGCATAAAATCTTGTCTAATAATCAATATTTTTATGGTATACAAGTTTTAAGTTCTTAAATCTATACAGCAATATTTAAAAACATCCTGAATTTCTCCTTGTGGTTACAGAACTATCAAGTAGAAAATGAGACCACTCTTAGAACTGGGATCCATATAGAGGTCTAGCACGTAATGTCACACAACTTCCTGTTTGTTCAACACTGCCATACTATATGCAATATTTAAAAACATCCTGAATTTCTCCTTGTGGTTACAGAGCTATCAAGTAGAAAATGAGACCACTCTTAGAACTGGAAGCCATATAGAGGTCTAGCACGTAATGTCACACAACTTCCTGTTTGTTCAACACTGCCATACTATATATAAAACATTCCTTTCTAGCAGTCAACACATATCAATATAAGATTCAGCAAAGTTTCACATATTGTCAATGGTTTGAACGTCACCTTTGGTTAAATGACACAGATTCAATTTCTAAATATAAATTTTTCTTTAAGTAAATTGCTGAGATGATTTAAAGCCTCAGACAATTCAATATAGAAGACATATTTGTCATTTTTCACTTGAGACAATGCAAACACTTGATATCTAATATGGTGAAGCAAACAATAACCAAGCAACTTCTTGATATCAGAGAAAGACCTATACTGACTCATATAATGGAAAATAACAAAAAAGGAGCTTTCATTGCATATTTAGATCATTAGCCTATGGCTTTTTTAAAGATGAGATATAGAGAATAACATTAAACCATGACAACCAAAGTTTAGATACAATGATTGGTTATAATTGATAATATTACACTTGTATTGAAGTTACAGGGTCAAATTAGCACTAATTTGATCAAAATTATTCTGACTTTCCTCATAGAGAGCTACAAGTGGTGCATTATGCTCAGAAAAAATTCAGGAAATTCTCACACTTTTAGTAATCCATCATTCTAAATGTCATATGGCCAAGGTTCAACCAGATTTTCTACACCTAAATGCATAAAATTAAACTATTACTTACTCTAAAGTCCTTTTCATTTCTGTTCCCATGATATGAATGGTTTGTGAAGTTCCAATGGGACTTTCAACTAACTCCACATATGACTCGGGAAACCAACCTGTCTTTCCCTTTAACTCACCACCTAGCCAACCAGGTTCTGGACTTTGATCAATGGGAACCTAAATTAAGTTACAAAATCAAATTATGCTTTAAAACCTTTTCATTTTATTACATATTCTACAAACCTCTGTAACAGCAGGGCTTACCTCAAGGGACTTTTACAAAGTTTGGTTTGGGACCCCTACACTTTATTAGAAAACCAAACTAAATACAATCTACTTAACTTTATGGGTACAGCTAGATCAAAATGTACATGTCACAACCTTTTTAAATGTTACATTTAAAATTTAAGTAAACAACTTTATAATCAATAAACTTGTCATAAAAACATAGTTGATAATTCAAGTTTTATATTATCTAAGTTTTAGTTTCTTAATTTCAAAAGGAAATATCTATATAAATTCTTCATCTTCACTTCTGTGTCACATGATCCATCTCCTCTCCAATTCTCTTACTTTAGTTTCTCCATTCCCTTTTAAAACTGTCAGAAAGACCAACTAATCAGAAACTCAACTTAAACATTATAATCTAAATCTTCAACTTTCCCTCATTAGTGAGATACAAATTTGTGACACCCACCATTGAAGTTCCTACCATCTTGACATATCTTTGAATACATTTATCTGTACCACATCCTTCTCCCTTAGAAACATGTTTATAACCAACAGAACTTTGTTCCCTATACAAATCTGCTAAAGGTTTTTTTTCCCGTACGTTTCTAGACAGTTTGCCTCAGGTTACTTGTGTATGATCATTACTGTTAAGCTCCAACAAGTTTACAGAATTTTGTTAACCTATTTGTAGCTTACTTAAAAAACCAGCTAAATTATACTAATTTTAGGACAATTTATATTTTGGGTGTTAATGTTTTGTGTTCTAAATTTTGATTTAAAATAATCATTTAAAATGAGTTAGTCCACTAATATATATATATCATTACAAACAAGCTGGCTTACAGTGCTTTATCTGTTGACAGCCCAAAAAAAAGCACAAGTCCAGATGAGGAAGTACTAATTTCTATTATGCTAATATGTAAAAATTAGAAATGAATTAGGTTAGACAAGAAAACTTAAATAAAACCTAACATAAAATTTTTCATGACAGTCAATGTCATAGCAAGCTGTATGAGTCAGGCATATATATATATATAATTCATGTTGTGCTTGTAACTCAATCGTTTGTTTACACAAAGTTGTCAGGTTATGATAAATGGCTTTCAGTGTACTTTCAAAGGGTCTAAATGCAGCTGTAAAGTAACATTAACCCTTTAAGATGGGTTGCAGGTGAAAGGCCATGTCATCTAGTAACCACCAAAAAAAATTTGAATTAAATCTAAATTATCTATATCTAAAGAATAAATCTAAACTACCATTTTTTTTCTCTAGAATGACTTCAAATTGTAACATTAAACTACACTTCAATATCCTAATTAGCTTTAAACTTGAAACAGCATACACCTGTTTCCACTTAAATTTTATTGTCTTTTGAACAGTGTCTAACTAATAATCCTGCCACACAAATTCTAAATCACTTAGCAACCATTTAGCTCACATTACCCTATAAAATTACATACCACATGAGCTACTCAAGAGCATACCTTGTGAAACTAATTATTCTTTTTTTTACCTTATGTACCCTAAAAAGTTTACAATTTTTTACAATTCAGTTATTTTTATAATAATAAAGAATACACATGACAAACAAGAAATGTAGTACTTTTCTGGGTCTTCTTTTTCTATCATCTGTCGATAAAACTTAACCATACTTTTTTATACTAATAGTACTACTGTAATAAATGATCTTTTTATTTAATTAAATAATGCACCAAACTACACAAAATAAGAACATGCAAAAAACAGACAATGTTCCATAATTATAACAATTTTGCTCGGTTTCTAACTATGTGAAAAGAGTGGTTAAAAGTTAGTATTTTCCTACACTGAAAATATATTTCCAATAGATACTCAGCCCTACTCACAAAATAGCTTTTCTTGACTAGCAATGCTCTCTATTGGTACAAATTTTCAATGCAAATGATCACAACTCCCATCATAACCAGCATCTCTTCACATCTGCACTCATTAAGCACTTTGAGATTGGTCAGAAGACTTGCACCATATATCATCATACCTGGGGATGCTGGGTGGGAAATGTGAGAGGAGATAATGTCTATCAGAAATATGGTATCTAGGTATACTGTTTGCTCTTTAATGACAGTGTTGCAAAAATAAAACAAAAAAAAACAGGAAGGAATCCCAGAAAATGTATAACCAATGAATGGGACTCTTGGGTGTCGAGTGGCTAGGGTACAACAGACTAGTGGTAGTTCAACCTCATCCAACACCAGGCAATATCTGAAATGGTACATAAGATCCATGGTAGGTAGAGGATCACCTACCTCCTCACTCCAAAATTGGAACTGGTAGGGAAGAAGAATTTCTGCACCAAATTCTGTCTTCACTTGTGCACATTTCCAACACCAGATCCGCTGGGAACCGACATCCACCAGATGGTAGGAAAGTGGAAAGCCCTGGCAGGATGACACCTCTGGTCAAAAATCAGACAGCAATGAGTAAGGTACTTCCAGCTTCTACAAGCGGGAAAATGTGCTGTGTCCAGCTAAAACCAACACCAGATATGCCAGTAACCAACATTCAGCAGATGTTAGGAAGAGGGCCCACAAATCTGGAGTGCATTTCCAGTCCAAAGCCTGTTGGCAATAGGCATTTGTCATCCAGTCCATTGGTAGGAAGATAATATCCATCTGTACACAAGCGGGAAAACATGCTTCGTTCAGCTACAACAAACACCAGATATGTCGAGAACCAACATCCAGCAGATGGTAAGAAAAGAGACCACAAACCTGGTGTGCATTTCCAGCCCAAAACCTGGTGGCAGTGGGTATTTGTCATCTAGTCCACAGTAGGAGTAGGGATACTGGCCATCACATGTGAGAACTTACTTAGCTGGAACAACTCCAACCAACACTGAAACCACTGAGAATGATGGTAAGGAGGAGGAACATCTAAGCCTGATGGGAAAACTGCAATAATATATATATATATATATATATATATATATTTGTGACATGGCAGAGTGCTTCAACCAAAACCGGGCAGCATCTGGAATTACACATCAGGTTTGTGATAGGAAGGGCATCATGCCATCTACACACGACACTAATCACCACCAGGCCATCTCTAACCAAAACCAAACCCACTGGGAATGTACATCTGGAGGAGGGAGGAATGCCATGATAAGAAAAAAAAGACAGAAATATAGCATTGTGCTACACCCAAAATCTGGGAGCATCTGGACTTGTACTTCAGGCCCACAGTAGAAATTGCAGAATCCCACCACCCAACTCTAAACTGAGTGATATGATTCATCACTCGGAAGGACGGGTCTCCATGGTCTACCACCCCCAGCAGCTAGGAACTGGTAATTGGTATGTACTCCCATATTCCACTAGAAGAAAGGGAAGAAAATGCATTGGAGAATCCAGAGAACTGCACCACTGGAGATAGTGATATGGGTTACCGCAATATCTTATTTTGAAAAGCAGAGCTACCACATCAACAGAGTGGATCAACCAATACCAGCAGCATCTGGAATTGTATGCTAGGTTTGCAGGAGGAAGAGTTTAAATACCACAGAGCATCAGAAATGGGAAGCAATCCCTGTCTGCTTTACTCATGTGTCCATGAGTATATGGTCTGGAATAAACATACTTATGAAGCAAAAGACCACTAGAGAGAACTACTAGCAGTCCTACAGAAACCCTATCTCTATGATGTGTGTAACCTAATCTTCAAACATAATTGTTTTGACATTGATGACAATTGAACATGGACACACAACTAACACCTAGCTACATCTGGAATTGTGCATCAGATTTGTGGTAGGTAAAACTACAACATAATTGACATTGAGCATGATCAAAAGATATACAGTGCAAATTTTCATTAAAAAAAAAGTGTACCTGTCAGGCACCATTTGCCACAGAGTGGGATCCACAATACACTAGTTAGTGGCATGCATTTAAAAATTGTCCCAAATAAAGGACAAAAAGAGCTATTTTGTGAGAGGAGGTAAGATATCATATTAGAAATTCAGCTAAGCTAGTTGACATGTTTCTCATGTAAATAGTTATCCAAATACTCCAAATTTTAATATTATACAAGTTTCAAGTTCTTAATTTTATAATGTAATAATTTTTTTAAAAATCCTCAATTCCCTCTCGTATTAGAAATGTGATCTTTAGGTATCCCTCTCCCTCTAGTTTATTTTCCACTCTTCAAAAAAGTGCAAAACCTATCATAAATTACCTATTATAATGTTTTCATCACTCGGGCAAAGCATAATTTTAATAGCTTTTAATCTTATTTGGTTACAGTGCCATAAAATAGAAAATCAGACCCCTTCTGATTCAGAAATTGTCAAAGGTTCTCTCTGATGTTTAATACTATATTATTTATAACCAACAAAAAGACAAGGTTTTAACCTATCAAATGACGTATTATGCTACACTGTTTTCTGTACAAAGCATTGTCTATTTCACTTCCAATTGAAATATTATTCAAAGAGGAAACTCATCGACAGGCTTAGCTGAATTTTTAGCAGCTTTTATCACATAGTTAGAAAACCAGAAAAATTGTTAAAGGTTAGAGGGTTAAATCAGGTCATTTCTCTCCAACTACCTAAAAAGTTATTCTATTACATGGTTATTAAGTAGTACATGAACACTTTATACTTCTTACTGCTTGATCCGTTCACATGAAGGCAAAGTGTAAATACACTGAGTGGATTATTTCTACTTCAGGAAAGAACACTTCTAACCTACTGACACATCTGAAGGTAAGCCTTATTATTATTTTTGTTAACATGTACTATATTATATGGAAATTTTAGAATAAAATAGAGGTAAACTAAATTTCTGATGTATGTTAAACTATACTTTTTATTATTTTCATTTACTTAGTATTATAGTATTTATTTATAACAATATCTTTTTTTATTATTATAAACTATGTTCTATAGTTAAACTAAATTGCTCATG